ATATTTAGATAAATCAAGTTGCAACTGCCTTATGACAGATATAAGTATAGGAAATTGTGACCCCTTTGTGGGTAAGGCACCAGAAAGGGGTTGGCAGTTATTTATCATCTTCACAACAGATTTTGCGTTAGCAAAAATGTTTGGATGTGTGATGTGGGATGTGTGAACAGAGTTTGTTTTTCAAAAATGTGAACCCTCAGTGGGGGAAGTACCACAAGGAGTGCGTCGATATATCCAATTTTCAGCAGATCCTGTGTTAGTAAAAGTAATGGCATGTGTGAAATTTGTAGAAAACCGGAAGCTTATTTCGTTTTGGTTATTCAAAATGTTGACCATTTGTGGACTAGGTACCAAAAGAAATGGTCCCATCTCTACCATCTTTAAAACAGATCTTGTGTAGATGGAAATATTGAGATGTACCAAGTCTGAATGGAACGGATATTATTTTACGTTTGTGGGGGAGGTACCAGAAAGAGTGGACCGATACATTCCCTCTTCACAGCATATCTTCTGTTAGTAAAAATAATGGAATGTGTGAAATCTGAAGGAAATCGGATGCTTATTTCAGATTTTATAATCGTTTTGGTTATTCAAAACATTGACCCTTTGTGGGAGAGGTACTTTATGGAGTGGACCGATATTGTCCATTTTCGCACCTGACATATCACTGATGCAAAGACTAGGAATTGCAAAGTTGGGGCAAAATCGGATAATCCTTTCTCTTTCTGTGCAGTAAAATATTTTTTTTGAAAACTTTGACAACCTTCAGAGATCTAAAATCCGACGAAATTGGGTAAAAATCAAATTTGGGCCGGTTTCAAAATTTTGTGTACCTATAAAATTTTTGGAATTTGATATTTTGCCTTACCAGTAATGCAGAGGATGTGATGTTGTCTTTGTCTACTAAACTTTTCGCTGTGGGAGAAATTTCAAATAGGACAATTCTGGAGTAAAACCTCTTCCTATGTTCCAAAAACGCCATCTATGGACGCATTTCTTAATACGTTTTAAAATATTTGATTAAAACCAGAGTTGGAATTTAACGCCAACCACCAATGAGAATTCTCCCTGATTTCCCAATTTCAGAGAATAGAATTATTAAGATATGTAACTGCATAGTTGTCCCATCAATACCATAATTGATGACTTCGGTGAGACACATACTGCCTGATATCTCTTTTTTTATTATATCAGTGTGCCGGCGTTTTTGGGACGCCACATAATTGCGTTTTGTTGTACGTTTTCAAGTATTTGCAACAGCTCTTCAAGGTTAAAAGAAAAGCAAATTATTTGTTCTCTGTAGCGTTTTGTTTCTTAAATGGCACTACAACATGCTTTTACGAGCGAATATGTTGTTGTATTCCAAAATATGTGCATACACACACACACACATATACACATAAATATTCAATAAAAATAATGTTTATGCAATTATCTGTATACAATTATTTTATGTGTATACAATTAAATAATCTGAATAGATGTCTAAAAAATTCCGAATGGATAATCGATGATTGAAAAACATTTATGGAAGGCAAAAACTCAGATGGTTAAACACTGAGTAGAACGATGAACTAGTTGGGATACATTGGTCCAATCTTTCCAGTACCTCCACCAAGAAGTACATATTTGTACTCTTCCCGCATTGTAATATTAGATCAGGTACAAATATGGACACTATCATCCTTAAGCCAAATTGGGAACAATCATAAGTAACTGTCATAAAATGGGGAAACTTTTTTACTGATTGATACTAAATGCGATTCAAAATAATGTACGGCTGAGAGGGGGTGTAAAGCAATCGTTCTGATAGGTTCTAACTTGTTCTAACTTGTTTAAAAATTTTATAATACCCTAGTATGTCTGTGTGTCAGAAATCGACTATCTTGAAATTGCAGCCCCACCAACCGACTGTAAATATAAATTTTATAGATTTTTTGTTATCAATGGCGCTTCGCCATAATTTTGTTTGAAAAAAATAAACTATCAGTAAAAAGTGTAAACAACCAAAGGAACAACAAACGCAGAGTATAATTCTTTTATTTTTTGTCATTTAACGCTCGAGACGACATTGTAATTCCCAAAGCTTAGGAATTTTACAATCACATTGTAATACGAGTGGTAGAACAATAAATATTTCTCAATTGCAATGCGGTTGAGTTCGGGCGAAAAACTCTCTCAGTTGAGGTTTATGAATATTTAGTTAACTTGATGCCCTCCCCACCCCGCACCGCTTCACTATTGCAATACCTATCTTTTGAAAGTTTATTTTTCCACTAATTCTTGGTAAGCGTCGCAAGTAATGGCCAATAAAAGTTTTATTTAATAAAAAATAAACTGGGGATTTTGAGCTTTTCTTTTAAGGCCACAACTAAAATGCGACAATGTGAGGTGGGCCACTATTTCCCACTTTACGGCCATGGAAGGGGAAAGTGTTGATGACATTTTATGGGTGGAGGGAGGCCTAAATGTATTTTCCTATTCAGGCCTACCAACGTGGCCATAACATGTAACAGTTGTCTTACAAAACAATTCAACTTTAGAACTGGAGTACAATTCTAGGAAGCCTGTTAATTTATAGATGAAAACGTTTTTAAATATAGGTCTTTGGGTATGTGAAATGTCTAGATTTTAAGAAGGGGAATGTTGAATTTTCCAACACACAGGTTTGTGCTACATAACATTTCTGGAGCAAAAAAATAGTTCATTTTATCATATGACAAAGATGTCATACTGTTTGAGTGGTTGCAAAATATAGACGATTGAATACCCAACGGGATCCTTTGGGATATGTAGGTTGATTCCATGTAGCACAAACGTTATCATATAGACTTCCATATATTTTGAATGTCCGTTATCAAATATCGCATAGAAAAAAATCACAGGCTCCTCTGTATATCAGATTAGATTAGAATTGTGGGCTGTAGAACAACAGCAAAATTTTCTGTTTTTGGTCCATGTCAATATTTTGCGACCATTTCCAATAAGAATAGCCTTCCATTCTCACCATTTTCGATATCTGAGAGAATCGGGCCATAATTGTGACTTGTAGCGTGATTACAAATTAACATGGACAGACGGCGAGATAGGAAGATCCATACATAGTTTCCAATGTGTAGGACCAATATTTCGAGGTGGTGTTACATAATTTTTGGCCCAATCAAACTTATACAGGTGAGATGAAAAAACTGCAACCAATTTCAGACTTCTGTCATTTCTAAGCCACTCGTCCGACAGCTGTTAAAATTATTCCAGAGACAGCTCATTATATTGTTTACAAGCGTACAAAAGCATTTTGGTGAGAATTTTCCAGAAAAAAAGTTATTCGGGATGGAGTTGGATATTTGGCTGGAAAACCACAAGTGGCTATCGTTAGAGCACTTAAATGTGATTAAATCTTTTGCGTCTCGTACCATCGCTCGTGGCTGTGATACTGGTAGCGTAGCCCGACGTCAAGGAAGTGGACGGGAGAAAACAGCAACATCAGCAGAAGTGGTTCGAAAAGTAAAGAAGCGACTTGATCGAAACACGCATCGCTGTGGCCGAAAAATGGCTCGTGAGCTGAACATATCGCAATATTCCATCCGGCAAATATTGAAAAATGAGCTCGGGGTAAAGCCATTGAAATTCCAAAATGTGCAAGAACTTACACCGCAACAGAAAGAAAATAGACTCAAAAGAGCTAAAGATTTGCTTCGCTTGGCCGAAAGTGGTGAACTGCCGAATTTGGTTTTCTCGTCGTCCAGCAGTTTGTAAACAACAAAATGATGATGAGGTCAGCTGAAAATGTGCACCTTCGGTTGGCCACCAGGCCGGCCGGTGATGGTGTGGTCGCTCTTGACCGTGGTATCAGAATAAATGCCGAATATTATCGCGAAAATATTCTGGAGGGTGTATTAAAGCCTTGGGCACGCAAACATTTAGCCGCAGATCTTGGACATTCCAACATTGTGTCTGAAGTATTTTGGAAAGCAAGGTTGCCACTAAAAAATCCCAAAGTGTCGATCACCTCATGCAAGCGATTCGCCGGGAATGGGCCATAATACCGCGGAGCAACATTCGGGCAGCGTGCGACGGTTTCATTGGCCATTTGAAGGCCATAATTCGTGCCAAAGGTGACCAATTCAAAAATATCTAAACTTATTCTAAAATTTGATGCTATTCCCAACATTTTTTGCTTTCATTCAATTAAAAAAAATGTAAAAATTATGGCGTTTGACTTCGCGGCAGTTTCTTTTATAATTTGTCTTATATTTTGATTGCATTGTTTGTATGGACGGTGGACAAATATGGACCATCCTAATCTAGTAATATAGGGACGTGTGTAGTTTGAAAAAAATATTTACTGATTTCACTTGTGGATAGAGATATCAAAAACCACACCCTAATAAAGTCAGCTTTCAGAGTCCCAAATCCCTTTTAGAATATTTTTTCTATAAATGTACTCTGCAAATAGTTGTCACCAAAATTAATCCTTACAAAATACAACAGTTACGTATATTGGTAATTTATCTAAGGATGGTGGTGGTGTTTAGCTATGACAAAAACTGCCGTTCTACCCGCACTTTTGTTAACAATACCCGCTCCACGTTGATGCACAAATCTGTAACGTCTATTATTCCGTTCCTAGGCCACAACGTCTAGAACGCATAATGGGAGATGCAGCTTGCTTGTGCTCATTTATGCATGCCAATGCAACCGTGGAGTTATAAAATTGCCACACCAAAAATTATGCAGACCTGGTGGTGGCGATGGTGGCCGGTCGGCGGTGTCAGACATATATGTGTGTGCATTGTCATACGGGTTGGGTTTGTGGATGGATAGGACAACTTAAAATGAAGGCAACATCTCTAATGGCGGTGGTGTGTTGAGGGGGGTAGTTTATTTATTTTTGTTTTCCAAATACATGTGACTATTAATTTTTTCACTTCTAATTATTTGTTACAATTTAATATTCATATCTGTGTGTGTGTGTGTGTGTGTTTTTTTTTTCTTTGCAGAAATGGGAACTGTTTGTCCTCAGTCGCCTGGGCTGGGATTTGTCATGTGTTACACCGTTGGACTTCTTGGAATTGTTGCTGATACGTTTGCCCATCAGAAGTGCTGACTATCCCGATTTGGATGTGGACAAAGTGCGACAACATGCCCAAGCGTTCATATCGTTAGCCGCCAAAGGTACGTTTGTTTTTAGCCATAGTTCACGTTCATTCGTTCATCCGACAGTCTGTCGTTTACTCTTACTATTACCAGCCACTTGACAACAACAACAACAACAACGACGACGAAAAAAGAAGATTTTCTTCATCTATTTCTATTGATATAACGTTTACCCATTGAGCGAGAGAAAAGAAGTTAGCACAGTTATGGAACTACTTAGTACGGTCAATAGAAAATAAATAATAGAGATGATGCCTCCATTCACACTGCAGCCAGTAGTGAGGTCCTCGGTTTGTCGACCGGCAGGCTAACGTATTTGAAAGGAATTTGTGTCAGTAGATCTTTTAAAGGTTTTCCTCTGTTTCTGCATTTTCTGGGCAAATATTTATTAACTTGTTGGGGGGCTAACTTATTCATCTGTTGCCTACTTGTCTGAATTCCATAACAATGAAATAAGTGGAGAATTACAGATTGTTGGCCAATGCAGTCGTTAGTTAAAAAGATTTAGGATTGTTAAAAAACATTAATGTGGCATTCTTCAGTAATTTGCTGTTGGTATACGAAAAAGTCTAAAATAATTGTGAAAGATTTACAAAAAAAAAAAAATACTTTTTAGTGCCATCTTAGAGATGATATGCAAAAGGTTAGAATGATTAAGATTGAGGTTCCAATTGTTATATATTCCACCTTACGGTGGATATCATTGTTACATGGCCAATCAGTTTGCAACATCAATATCCAAAATACCATATAAAAATTCAAGATATAAAATGTGAATAACTCACTTTACTCTAATATCTTGGCCACCAGGTTCTACACCAAAATGAGGGGTCAGTATTTCGAATAGTCGTAAGTCTCATATGATGCGACGAGGAGCTGGAAGATATCGAATTCTCAATTTTCACGCTCAAATCTTTACTTTTCATAATTATGACTTGGAGTGTTAACTCATGCATGCATCTGCACATATCCACAAAAAATTACCCAAATTCCGACACAAAAAATAATCGACTTTGATCCCTTTGAATTATGTAAAAATATATTTCTTGCAGCGATTAATTGAAAGGAGGATTGCTTTTGAGACGAAAAAAAAAAACATTTCATGCAGCATCTGCTCATTACATTTCACATTTCGTGAGAACAGCGAGCCACACAACGAATATTCGAACGTGTGAGAAGATTTTAAGCAAAAGGAATAAAAAATGCGTTTATTCGGTTTTGGTTGACGGGCACGATGAATGACGACGACACAGCTATTGCAAATGTGCAACATATTTAAAAAAATTGTTTAAGCAGTCAGTACTTGTCAGTCATATTTGCCACCGGAAACAGGCGGTTACCATGTAACGGCACAGCAGTAAATGTCTCGAAATTCCCATTCCTGACACTTCTTCGGCAACATTCGTTCGTTTGGTCGGTCGTTTATATTTTGTTGTTGTTTTTTTTTTTTTAAATAATCTGATATTTTATTAGACAGAAAAACCTAAAGGAAAAAAGAAAGGCATTACCCAATAATCTTCGTGTGGGCCGTGCAGTGTCATCATTGCCTCGTTGGTTGCCGTGTTTGAGCTCAAACATTTTTCCATGCCTTGTATCTGTTTGTCTTGAGACCCGATCCAGCGTCGTTGTCCTTTGTTAGCTGCTGCTCTGCTATTTTTTATTTGTCTGCTGTCTTTATTTTTGTCAAAGAGTTATGCGTTACACAAAAGTGGCGTGGGAAAATATGCGAAAGGCATGACAGCAGAAGCGACAATCATTACATGATACTCTCGCATGAACAGCAGACTGCCAGACGGAAGGACAGACGACGTAGCGAACGAACGACCGACCGACTGATCGACCAATGAGCAAACTCATAAGACCAACAAGCCACAGCCAAGGAGCTGTGCTGGGCAAAGGAAGTGCTAAATGTTGGTGTTGTTGTAAATCGCCAGAAGAGCATTTCGATTGTGGATATTAAATATTTCATTGTCGTTTGGGTTTTTGAGTTTTGTATTTAACTTTTCTTAGCTGAGCAAAAAATCAATGCATACCATGTACCTCTGTCTTCAGGTCCTCTGCTTCCGCCTCTCCCCACTCGTATCCTTCCACTTTTTGATTCATTTTTGCAATATATGCCGCTGATGTTTTTGCAATGGCCACACTCTAAAGAATTCGTAATGACGATGAAAAAGGGCATGGCTTCGTTAAATTCATTTGATTTGTGGCCAATTGTTGTTGTTGTTTTTAGTGTCGTCGTCATCGTCGTGCTTGCTCCTGCCGCGAATACCAGCGTACATGTAAAGCAATTATCCGAAAATTCCTTCAAGTCTGGTTTGTTGCGGTGCAGTATTCTGATCGTCTGATGGTCTGTAAGAGAGGTTTTATTTTTTGCGAAAACGAAAAATTAAAAAAAAAATATTGAAGATCGTTTCTTTGTATTACAATTGGACCATAACCCAACAAACATTTTATTTAAAGAATCATTTTGGTTCAGTTATTAACATTCTTAAAAAGTGTTGGATTTATAGAGTTTTTTTTAATTTAATTTAGAAACTCTTTACAATCTAAAGCACTATGCGTTGGAGGTATTATAAGTTTGATTGGGCCAAAAATTATGTAACACCTCGAAATATTGATCCCCGGCGTAGGAAACTTTATATCGATTTTCCTATTACGCCGATCTGAGTAGATCTAGCTATGTATGTCCGCCTGTCCATGTTATGTCAAAAATACTAAAACTTCTACTACCAGAATTACATTTAGGGGTTCAAATGAACCAAAAAATTAAATTATCCTGATATTGCAGCCGCTCTACATTTCACAATTAAAATGCAGTCGACACAGAATTTTGTCTGAGAAGAGAGTTAAGAACAAGGAAGAAGTCTAGCATTTTGGATGACCATTGGATTATATTAAGCTTTTCAAATGGACCACAACTTTCGTGCGAAATTGTTTTTAATACCCAACAATACGACGAATTGCGTAAATATTCTGGAAATGCCCCCGGTCAAAAAGCTAAGGGTAGGGCTCTATGGCATCATATCCAAAACGAAATCATCCAAAATGGATTTGGACATAAGAGGCCTTTCAACATATTGTAGTGTTCGCAGTGGTTTATATTTCATGCTCTGCAAATTGAGTTGGCTGCATAATTTTCAACTTAGCAGCTGGGCCCTACGACACATCGCAGATTAGTACCCTATCACTGTATTATATTTATGTGTGAGCCTAGATCTACATAAATTTAAATACTAACGAGACCCTTGATCTAGGGTTTCTCTTAGATACGTGGTTCTTCCTTTACGAATCATAAATATATACCTTAAAAATATTTGTGGAGACACACGATCTCTCATTATTTGCTTTATATCTCGTGTGTGCATGAAGATAGAAGCATTTATTTGTTTTCAGGTTTTGCCGAAGAGTCTTCTTTTTCAAATTTTATATTGTCATCAGGTTGCTGCAACCACTTTGCTCTCCCGTGGAGTACTGACAAGTCTGGATATTTGTACGCGTCTTATAGTGCGGTGGGTTCTCTTGTCGCATATTTCGTTCAACATTATCAATGCTGTAGTCCTTCTTTCCTTTGCATTCATTCTGATATGTTGTTGTTGTTCTTTTTTTTATGGTTTTGCCCAAGAAGAACGACATTGCGTGGCGGTGGTCGCCAATGAACGGCAATGAATTATTTTACATTATTAACAATGCCATTATAGAGACACACTTAGAGCTTCTTCCTTGTGTACTCCTTCATCCTTTGGTATGTGCCCAAACATTTCGACAGACGAACATACAAACATGCAGACATATTTAAGACGACGATACCATTGTGTGTTTAGTGCTTCAGCGCAGCATCAGGTTTAGTCAAAGGAAATATTTTGTTTTCGGTGATCCGACAAAGACCTCAGTCCTCATATGAAATTTCGCTGGAAATATATGTCGAGGATCGTGCTGCAGAGACACCAGCCACTAACACCTTCAACAGTAAAGCCTTTGTACACCACCACCACCACCTACCAATGTTCCCATGTACCCTACCATCCAACAGCCAAACATGCATCCAACCGTAGCCATCAGCAGCCAGGTTATTTTGCTTTTTTTAGTTTTCGTTTTCAAACCCTGTGTGAATGTGTGGTTATTTCAGGATGACGGTAAATTCCTGCATTTTTTCGAAACCGGATTTTCATGCGCCACCTAAAAGGCTTCTTTTGCTCGACCATGTCGACGCATTGTTACGATACGAAATATTAAAAGGTTCGCTTTATGCAAATAAGTTTTTATTGCTGGGATTGCAGGTCGGTCGGGCTGTCGGTCCGTCGAAAAAGATCAACTGCGGCTGAAATCACCGAAAATGAAATGCGACGATTAAAAAAGCGACAACACCACAGCCACGACGACAAGACAATGACAACGGCAAAAACATTGGCGGCGACAACTAATCGAATAAGTGATTTTTAAAGGTTTCCTTTGAAAGGCTCTCAATTAAGACATAAATTGAGCAAATTTATGCTTTAAAAATGAGTTGGATGTCGTCGTTGTTGTTCTTTGTAGTTGGTCGATTTGTTGAACGCTCTTTCATCCTGCCATTGGCAATGATTGGTTTGGCTAAAATGATAAAAGGCACAGAAGAAAAACAACAGAACGGTGTTGTAGACACGAAAAAAAGAATTCCATTTTTTTTTTTGTTTTGCTCCCTTTGCAAGGGTGACTTAGTTACCGATACACTTTAATTGAAATCGGACACTTTTAAGCTTCAATTCAATATTTTTTTTCTAAATATAACTGTTATTCGGACATAATGAAATTAACTTTGTATTTGTATCTCTTCTTTTTTTCTTTGCAGAACACCATTTTTCAATGTACTCTGCCAGCACAATTGCCGCTTCTTCGATAGCGGCTGCCCTCAGCGGTTTAAACTGGCATTTGCGTACAGGTCAAAATTTACGCTATCTACTTAATCTTCTAACAGATTTGACCAGTGTGGAACAGGTAAGTTGTGTTAATAATGTGTACTCGTATATGTTCCAGGGTTAAGGTAGGGTTATCTTGAATATAAGTTACCCTTTTCGAAATTGGGACGGGTTGTTGTTATTGCCTTGATTACAACATCCGCAACTCCCCAATATCGAAATTTGAAGTCATGTTTTTTTACATAATTCCCTTTAATTTCATTTACCGTGCTTCTTTGTTTTCAATTGCTTAAGTCCATTACATTCCACTTCCAATTGAAAAGTATTATTCATGAATATGAATCATTCATAATAATACAAAATGTCCAGACGGTCGTATTTTCTTCTTCCCAGGATGTAGAGACGCGCGCACACACACAAATAACGCCACTCATTGCTTTGTCCCCAAATGACAATAAAATTGCGACGCCTTAACACTGCTGTTGCATTTAATTAATTTTAATGGCTGTGTTAATTTGCAAATTAATTAATGTCGAGGTCGAGGCCAGTCCATGCAGGCAGACGAGCACAAAATAATGTGTTCAAACATTTAGAAGAAGTTCAAGTTTAATTGGGGTCCTAGGAATGTAGTTTTGTTAAAAAAAAAAACAAAGCTGGGAGAAATTTGTGAGAAAATGTCCAAGGGAATTTTTGGTTCCCATCGTTTCGGATTCGGTTTGCATATTTGAGGGGTTTACCTTGCAATTTGTTGTTTTTGTCTACTTATTTTATTGTTTGCTATTCTATGTGCTAAGGAAGTCAATATTATTCAATAAATGTTTTTTCTCTTGCAGGATAATCTCCACGATTGTATGATGCAAATGGAAACAATATTCGAGGAACATAGTCGCAATTTGCAACCCTATCTGGGTAGTGTGGAATATGTTCACCAGCAACATCAAACCAATAACTGCTTGAGTTCGTCCGATATCAGTTCAGCGTCATCATTATCTTTGCCCGGTGATGTTATTACTGTTTCACCCACCATTGGAAACCAATCTCAATACAATCAGAATCAGAGTCATCATCATTATCTTCATAATTATCATGGTTATCACCATGACGCCAAACACCTCCAGCCACAGCAGCAGCAGCAGTACAATCATCTTTATCAGCAGCAACAACAACAACACCATTTCAAATCTCTACATCATCATTCCACAGTGTCCACTTCTATTTCCGCCAACTCGTCTTCGTCGTCGTCATCATCATCGTCATCCAGCCATGATGTGGTCAATGGTAGTGTCACTGCCAATGTCTTATTACCCGATTTAACGCAAACCTGCAAAATGCAGGCCAATGCCCAAAAAGAGGTGCAGGATATAAAATTCTAAGTCGTATTTTTAAGTTTTATTTTCTATTATTATTATTATTTTTATCATTTAACAACAAAACTTTGTTAATTGTTTATTTTAAGAAAAAAAAGAGAAAGAAACCACACACAGAACACATTTGAATTTGAAAATCGAATTAATGGTCAGCAACCAGAAACACAGAACCATTTCCCTTCTTTTCTTTATCATATTTTTTTAATATTCCTTCGGTGCTTTGTTAACTTTTGTATAGCATTTTTACAAAAACAAAAAGAAAAACCTGAATTGTATTTTCATGTATCTTTATAACTTTTTTTTAAAACTGAATTTCTTCCTTTTATTTTTTCTTCGCTACTAAATTAATTAGTAACTCTAACAGCAACATAATTTTATGTTTCTTGTCATTGTAATTATCATTTATACTTTACTACACCGCACAGTGTGTACCAAAATAAGAACATTATTAGTAAGTGATGCATCATAAATTTGTCAGTGAAATCTTGCAAAAAAATATTGCAATCTAATTCTTTTTTAAATAATTATTGGTATTTTTTGCAGTTCCACTTGAGAAACATAATTATTGCATAACATATGATGCATTATAAAACTGAATGTTTCTCGCTGTACTTTTTTGCATACGTTTTGGAACATCCTGCACACACCAATATATATTTTCAAATCTTTTAAAGATTGCCAATTAACGGCGCCGCAAAAATTTAAATGTTCGGTTTTTGAATAGGCTGTAAAATGTCATATTTATTATATAAAAATACCTCTTATTCATACATATATTTTATAATTTTTAACTTAAAAAGAAATGTAGGTGAAATATAAAAATATAAAAAAAAAACTTGTGTAAATAGTGTATCATCCTAAAGAGAAAAGGAGAACATGTAACCCGCCCTTAAAAAAATAAAAAAAAAAACACTTAAATCAAATACCTTTCGAGAAATACAAAAATTAAAAATGGAAATCTTTTGGCTGGCTGCATGAGAAACCAGAAGTAATTATAGACTGAATAAAAACAAACAAAAAGAAACTGAAAATTAAAAAGCAAAATAGATTCTTTAAGATTTTTACATATACACATTTCAAAAAGAAGAAAGAGAAAACGGAAACAAAGCAAAATATACATATATTTGAAAAAAGAAAAAAACTTTACCCACTGAATTCATCTATGGAATATAAAAGAAAATTTAAAACATATATTATTAAAATAAAATTAAGCTTTTATATTTTAAGCTAATTTGTAAAAAAGGATTGCAAAGAAAAAAAATTTAATTGGTAATCATTTGTTCATATATGTGAAGAAAATTGAAGATAATAAACAAGGAAATAAGTGAAACTAAACTTTGTCACAATTTCAACATATCCACACAAAACACACTGGAACTTCATATCCTCGCTCATGTTACCAAACCTCAGATTGGTTGCGCTCAGACAACAAACAAACAAGATGTGAAAAAAGTAACAACAAAAACCATTATTATATTAACTAATATTTTAAGAGTATAAAAGTAAAAAAAAAATTAAAACAAAAACACAAAACAAAATTGTAAAAATCCCCAAACGCACAACGATGTTAATGAAACAATGGCAGGGAAATAATTTTGAAACCCTTAAATCCCCCCTTTTTAATGTTTGTGATGAATATTAACAAAACAAACCACAGTGTACATACAAATAAAACTAAGTTTTAAACTCTAAATTTGCCTTAACACAAGGCAAACCACAGGCAACCAGGTGTTAGGGGAAGACATAGACATACGCTTTGCCTTAAAACTAACTGGCTATATATTAGAAAACAACCCACTCGAGAATTTCAGAATGTCATAATATTTGAGTCTGCTTGTGTCAGAAGGGCAATAAAACTTAACACAACAGAATACAGTGAACCAAAGACATGCTTAATACGACATAAACGCTTATTTTTAAAAACAAAAAACGACATAAAATCATAGAAAACATATACTTGTAACAGAAAGAACCTTAATTTCCCGTCAAAGAATCCATTCAATTTGTAGAGCAATTGCTTTTCAAAGGCTAAAAAGTTATGCTTAGCCAAGCAAGTTTTTTCGATACCAATATTGTTAGAAGTTAAATTATAATCAGATTGTTTTCGGCGATCTTTTCCAAACTACACATATTTTCTACAGATATGTAAACAGATATATAAAGGTATCATATTCACTCAGATTATGTACATTAATGCAATATTCTTTAAGGAAGTATAGTTTCTTGTTACAAGCTCACACACACATACCACACCCTCCTTCCAGCCATTTGCCCGCATTATAACCCTAAATTGTCCTTCTAACCAGGGAATTATGCCAGGTAGTAAAATTCATCCCAAAAAGCTTTAACATTACAAGATGTAAACAGTTACTACTTGCATATGCCTGTGTTACACCAAAACCGAACTCAAATATTATGCAATTTACACTAAACGCTTACACAGAACTACAAAAAAAAAAAAAAACATTAAGAATAAATCTTAACCAAACTTGTAAAATTGAAAAAAAAAAACCAATAAGATAATATAAATTATACTAAGTTCAATAGGTGTACAAAATGGAAAAAAAGAAGAAAAAATAAAACGCTTATTTGCTACAAAAAAAAAAAAAAAAAAAAAAAAAAAAAAAAAAAACCACAGTGAACGTCGATAATTAAAAGCTTAGCATTTATACCCACTTATCCATGTATTTGTATAAAAAATACTTACATATTAAAAAAAATAAAAATTATAAAAAAATTATTTGTTTACATATTTTTATCGTATTTACCAACATAATATATGTATAACCACGCCAACCTAACATATATACCACCCGCAAAGGCAATCTGTGACGAAAGCTTGCTTTGTTGAACTGTATTTTATTCCTGCAGCAAATTTAAGAAATGAAAAGAAACTTGTTTAAGCTTTCTAGCTTTAAGTGTATTTTTGTACTTTGTAAGATTTTAGTCTTTAGTTGGTGCTATCAACCTCTCTGGCACCCTCGTAAATCAATCAACAAAGATGTTTTGTCAAAATTCAAATAGCATAAAAGAAGAAATACATACCATATGATGCTGGGTCTTATTTTCAAACAGAAGAATATATGTTGTGAAAATCAAGCGTTGCCAGCATTGTACCTCCAGGTGAAATGATGGTTAATAGAATTGGAACCACTACAATGAATACAAAATACGAACAATTTGTTGGTTTTAGTAAAAGCAAAAAGGACTGTGTTTTTTCAAAGAAGAAGAATTGAAATAAAAAGAAAAACATTTTCCTCAAACCAATAAAATTCAAATATAAAATTATATACTTTCTTGTTGTTTTCTTTCTGTATTTTTGGGTTGCATCGACTATCCTTAGTTTGGCAATTTCTACAATGATTGGATAAATGATAAAGTAGGTCGTCGCCGTTTCGCTTGATTGCTGGTGTGGAGATGTGAATCAGCGACCTCAGAATTTGTGTCACTTGCAAAAGAGAAGGCTTAAAAATCTTTCTAAATTGTATCATCGAACACCATAAAGGACAACTACCCACCGAAGTTCAAACCTTCGATAAAAGCAAATGAAAAAAAAGCAAAATAGATTCAACGAAAACAAAAACATTAATTGCGTTGTAAATAAATATTGAATTTATTTATTGAGTGAATAGTTTCATTTGTTATGTTCGCATTGGGTACAAGGTTAATATTGCCTTCGATTTATTGTGGTCTTTTTCATACTGTGGCCTAGAAAAAATGCATTTCGCTTAATATTTAATATTTAATATTTATATAAATTCGAATATTTAATAGCTATGGGACGTTTTTACGATTTGTGGTGGTTTTCTTTTTAGTTTATAAGTATATAGATATGCATAAGAATTTCTATCAACCAACATTGTCTCTTTAATAAGGAAAGAGATCGGGAGGGGATTACAAGCTCGGCTATCCAGATTCTGAAAGTGATTAATTTATAGTTTAGCACTCAGTCTTAATTCTCACTCTTTCTGGCACACTAGGGCAGTGCGCATGTAGGCATTGCCCGTTGTCTATTTCTCTATCTCACCAAATGTCACAATTCCCGAATTAGTGACATCAAGGTACTTACTTATAAAAACAACGTAATTAAACTGGATGGTGACTGGCGAACACGAGTGGATTAAATTATTTAAGTCATGATAATCTCGACATTGGACATAACAGTAACGGAAAAAATGAAATTTTCATTCAAAAAAAACAAAAAATGGATGAATATTAACCATTTTAGGGGGTGCAGCCCCCAGCCTACATCCCTGACTCAGTATTACGAGTGAGCTCCAAAATAATGATTTACTCTGATAAAATTTACAAGACAAAGTGGCTAGGTTTTGGATACTTGCTTTGCCTTGTAAATTTTATCGGAATAAATCATCTGGATATCTTAAAGGCTGGCCGAGCTTGTAATCCCCTAGCTATTAAATATTCGAATTTATATAAATATTATGAAGCGAAATTCATTTTTTCTAGGCCACAGTATGAAAAAGACCGCAAAAAATCGAAGGCAATATTAACCTTGTACCCAATGGGAACATAACAAATGAAGCTTGTCACTCAATAAATAAATTCGATATTTGTTTACAACGCAATTAATGTTTTGTTTTCGTTGAATCTATTTTGCTTTTATTTTCATTTGCTTTTATCGAAGGTTTGAACTTCGGTGGGTAGTTGTCCTTTATGGTGTTCGATGATGCAATTTAGAAAGATTTTTAAGCCTTCTCTTTTACAGTGTCTCCTTTTTCAAATGGTAATGCCACCATTTGTGTAAACATGATTTGTTATAAATACTAAATTGCAATTTGATAACATAATTTTAAAACATTATTCTTGAAGGAAATACGGCATTTAATACTATTATTATTTACTACTGTGGTCCAGAACCTGCAATGTGGTACTATACAAGGCCTTTATACGGTCAGTCAGTAAGCCGTGTATATTAAATAAAGAAAGCTTATTAAAATGGTTAAAGACTTACTAAGTACTTCTAACACTTCTTTTTCGACCTTTGTAGGCCTATATAGTACTATTTTTTACTTAACCGTTTACGAGCTAATGTAAAAAATACTATCTGGGCCAAACAGTTCCTTCAGAGCGAATTGGACAAGTCTCTCTCGTTACTAATTCGACCATTAAAAATTACGGTAACATAACAATAGCAGTAAGCAAATAAAACTACTTTAATAACTTTTAATAACCTCCACCATTGGCTAAGGAAAATGTTTTTACCAAAAAGTGTATGGATTCAAACTTATTCCACTTTAAACTACAAACTCCAGTAAGATCGGTAGGAGTATGGTTGGAGCCGTTATATGGGTCCATTCTAAAACGGGAACCTATATAGAACCCATTAGCAACTACAAATACCAATTTGTAAACAAATCCGTAGAAAAATGTTGATAAAACCATCAACCTAACGAATATCGGGAGCTAACGTTGTACGAGGGCTATACGAAAAGGTGGTAGAACCCATTACGAACAACAAATACAAATTTGTAGACGAATTCGAAGAAAATTTTCGAAATACCGAATATCGGGGGTGCCCTTATATTGGGGGCTATACAAAAACGTGGACCTATATCTACAATGTTCCAATACCGGAGCTTGAACCTATAATGAACAACAAATGCCAATTTTAAGACAAACCTGTGGAAAATGTGATAAAAATCATCAAAATACCGAATATTGGGAGGTACCTTATAGGGGGCTAAACGAAAAAGGTGGACCCATTTAACCAATGTTCTATCAACGAAACTGGACCCATTATAAACAACAAATACCCTTTTTTAAACAAACAAACAAACAAGTGGCAATATGTGGCAAAAATCATCAAAATATCGGAAGGTCTCGTTATACGGGGGCTCTACGAAAACGTGGACCTATATGTACAATGTTCCGCCACTAACGATAGAGCCCATAACGAACCACAAATATACATTTTTAGACAAATTGGAGGAAATGTGTGGCTAAAATTGTCAAAATACAGAGTGTCGGGAGGTACAGTTATATGGGGGCTATCCCAAAACGAGGACCGAGGAACCATCCTAAACAAAATGCAAACTACTGTGCCAAATTTTAAAGCTCTACGTCAAATAATGTGAGCTGTATCGTGATTTCAAAAGACAGACGGATAGATAAACAGACAAGCATCGTTAAATCGACTCAGAATTTTATGCTGATTATGAATATATATACCTTATGGGGTATGACGGATATTTAGAGGTGTTACAAACGGAATGACAAATTAAATATACTCTTCTTTCCAAAGTAGAGGGTATAAAAAACTACTGCTGCTCTTTTGCATTTTTTTTTTAACCTTCAAAAATTAATTACCGGAAAATTTCCTTCTCCTTCCTCATTTAAATATTCCAGAACGTGATTTGTAAACTAGTCTTATTTTTTTTAAATATATATAACCATAATTAGGAATATTTTTGTATAAAAGTAGTATGTATGTATAATATTTACTTTGTATTTGTAAACCATATCTGTGTTAATGTGAGCGTACATACATACAAGCCTAAATACATGCCATTCAAACAACCGTTCACATAGCCTCCACCGTTTTTAACTTCATCATCACGAAATTCCATGGAAACGATGCGTGATCTATCTTTGGATCCAATTTCAATGATCGAGCTCCTCACATCCTTCGGTTCATTCATTCATTTATTTATTCAGTTATTTTATGCTTAAGTTGATGTTCCCGCTATTGGTGGTGTTGTTGTTGTATCTTGTTCGTTTGTATCTTAAATTTCATTTCCAAAGGTAGCCATGGCCACAACAGTGTCCTACTGGAGGACTAATTGAAAATTAACCGATGTCTGTTTGACTGCCAACATTTTCGGCCAGACAAGGATTCTGAAGTAGTTGCAGGAAATAAAATCAGTTGTTTGGCAGTTGTAATTATAACAGGAACTATAGGTTCATAGAGAGTTGAAGCGAATGTCGGAATATTTGGAATGGGTTCGGCTACATATGCTTCTTTTAAAATTAAGAATTTCTATAGATGGATTTCTTACACACATCAAAGGCTTGTGTCTCACGAGTCACTGTTTGTTGTGGACTTTTGGTGTAATTTAGATACAATTGTGAACTCGTATTGGCTGTAGAAATTCAGACTTTTAGCCCCGGCCATCCCACCTTCAATATGATTGATACCGATTGACGATCATTTTGCAGTTGTATAGGGTGTTTTTAATACCGGCGGACACTCACTGTGTTGTTTACGTAAGAGCGACCGACACGCCGCCGGAATTCGAGACTAACCCACTTCATGTGTCCCTCCAAATAATTATCAATCATATCGGATAATACCTATCCCACCGCTTTGGTTGTAGAATTCCGGTCTCTTTAAGTCAACATGAACGGCAGAGGATCATTTAAAAGCACTAATAAATCCTTAAAGTCCCCCAAGCTTTACACATTGTCTGCTTGCCTTAATCACTGCTTGCTTTACTAACTTCACCTTGAACGCTAAAAAATAAATATGACTTGAATGGAGTTTCATAAAATCGTGACTACGCAATAGATGATCATAGGAACTCTCTGTAGGGTAAGTGCGCAGACATGGTAATAATATGTCCATCTTTAAGAGCAAACTAAATCCGAGACCGATATCGTCATTATCATCAACAGCCAAAAATGAAGGAGAGCGAATAAAAGGCAACACAAATACAAATCGCAGCAGCCAAATAAACCGACCAGACGGACGTGCTGAATATATAACTAAATATTCGCCATATAAAGAAGAATTAACTCAACAAGTACCTCATTATGACCGTACTCCAAAAACGTGTAGGCCACAAAGAGACCAGCAATACACAAACAACCGTCTGTGGCGTATGTGTGTGTGCGTCCATTCATAACCGTTGAGAAATTCCAGGAATTTTACAAAATTCCTCGGACGTCTCAGACAACAAAGGAGGAGGAGTTGTTGCCAAACCTCCATTCTTCTCACAACCTGCAAATCTAACCAAGGCATTTTGGTTGGATACCAGAGTGCCATTGTGGCATCGTGTTCTCTCGCTACGTCGAGATAATGTTGTCGTTGTTCTTTAATGCCTTTCTGTTCGGATTTATACCTAACGAACGAACGAACGAACGCAGGAACGAAGGAACCATCCACATCATCACTATCGCAGACGGACAACAGACGGGTACATACATTTATGTTAAGCAGAACAGAGTGGACAACACCAACAACATGTTGTTGTTGTTGTGTTAACTGGTGTATGCCAAGAGACTGGACAAGAACAAAAATAAAAGAAAACACCAAGAAACGACCGCACGTA